GCCTAGAATGCTTTTGATGAGACCCCGAGAGTTACTCACGTATCTGAATAATTCCGAAGAACCGTAAGTAACAGGAATATTAATTAAATACGTTAATTGGAAGATAATTAGTTGTAATGCAGTCAAATTAATATCGTCGTAGGGAGATTAAAAATTGGCATGCTCAGTACACTGAGTCGACCGGCGATATGGAGACCGCTTTACATCTTTATGAGCAAGCAAAGGACACTTTGTCGATGACAAGGTTGCTTTGTTATTTTGGTAGAGAGAATGAAGTGTGTGAGCTAGTAACTAGAACAAATCACTCTGCAGCGGCATATCATCTTGCTGCGCATTATGAATCGAAGAATAATATGGTACAGGCGATTCATTTCTATACGATTGCTAGAGCTTATACTAATGCAATACGGCTATGTAAGGTGAGGCATTCAATTGTTAAAAACTTAATGCCTTATTTATCCCATTTTGAATCACTTGACGAGAGTTAATAAATCTTTGCGATATTTATTATCTCTGTAGGAGCACAACATGCTGGAAGAACTGTGGCCACTGACTATATTAGCGCCACGGAACTCGCAGATAGACGTCGCCAAATTTTATGAAAACAATGATCAACCCGATCGTGCAGTACTGTTATACCATAAAGCTGGTCTCTTGCATAAAGCTTTAGACGTCGCGTTCAGAACGCGACAGTACAGCGCATTGCAATTGATTATCATGGACGTAAATGCAGATTCTGATCCGGCATTAATTCACAAGTGCGCCGATTATTTCATGCAGAACGACCAAATCGATAAGGCAGTGGATTTACTCGCGACCGGTAGAGACTATATGGCGGCTTTGGATCTAATCCAGCAACATAATGTCGTACTAAGCGAAGAGCTCGCAGAGAAGCTGACGATTGAAAAAGGGAGCGACGACGACGCAGAGCGCGAGCGTATGAGAATTTCTACGCTTGAGAAAATCGCAGAGATCACCTTCGATCAGGGAAATTATCATCTTGCAACTAAGAAATTCACGCAAGCTGGCAACAAGTTACGCGCCATGAAAGCATTGCTTAAATCCGGAGACACTGAAAAAATCTGCTTTTTCGCGCAGGTTTCAAGGAACCGCGAGATCTACATCATGGCGGGCAATTATTTGCAATCTTTGGATTGGCAAAATCAACCAGAGATTCTAAAAAATATAATTAATTTCTACTCCAGGGGCAAAGCCATGGATTTATTGGCGAATTTTTATGTGGCATGCGCGCAAGTGGAGATCGATGAGTTTCAGAATTATGAAAAAGCATTGGACGCACTAAACCAAGCAAACAGGTGTTTATCCAAGGTGGTGACGCCGCGAGATCCGGATGTTCACAAGCGGGCAATAGAGCTGGTAAACAATAGGATGTCGGCAATTAAACGCTATTTGGATATTAAAAGGTAAATCCAAAATGATTAGAGATCTAGGCTTATATTTTTATACGAAATATTTTACCATAAATATTATATTTTCAACATATTTGCGTTTATCATAATTATCCTTATTTAAATAATAGAAATTCCTATAGATACAATATTTTGTTTCTATATTAATTGTATTTTAATTGAATATGGATTTATTCTGTATATATTTAAATATCTTTTTTTTCTCATTAAGCAGATTGTTTGATAGAGGTGAGACAGAAACGGCAATGCAACAAGTTCGTCATCTGCTCGACTCTCAAGGACCTAATTTAGAACAGTCAGTGCGTCGTGGCGATCTGTTCGCAACGATTACACAGCATTACGCCAATATAGGGGACACAGAGAAAGCTTGGGCGACTATCGAAGAACTAAAACGCCTAGTACCAGGAATCAATTTGACCTACTATTTTAATATAAATCTTCTAGAAGCACTGGGCTATAAAATGAAAGTGCAGCGGCAGGACAGTTCCGACAAGGATGATGGAATCGAAGAGCTCCTGGGAGAGTAAAACTTCATTAAAATCGACATTAAGAGAATGCTGGAGTGATGATCGAATTTGATCGATGTCAATAGTACAGACTTCTTAAATTTCAATTTAAAAATGTTGTAAGAAATAAACAACAATACGAAAAAATATCAGGTTCCTCCGATATTCGCACTGAGGTCTGATCTCCTTCATATTGTAAACTTCCGTCCTGTCACCGAGCCGTACAGCCCTGACGCTGATAGCTTCTCTGTTGTGCCTATTTCCTCTAAATTTCTTACAATATTAATAATAGTAATATCAAGTATTTAATTAATTTCTTACATTATATTGCTCTGTCTTATTCAAACACATACTGTCCTTATATAACATATTAGAGTGCCATCTCTTACAAAATCCGGCATCTACTACGCATAATTACTGCTCTGTTTACTATTTTGAATCTTCGCTAAGCATACGTATATGCGTAATTTGCAGTTAAATATAAATTTTTTTTAAGGTTATTTCAATCTTAGTACAATAAGCTGAGGTACTGTTCACGTAATTCGATGAATAGTGCGATATCATTTTATCCATATAAGCTATTGAACTTTTGTATTAGGGAAACATCAACGTCAGGATAGGTGATATCTCTATGAATTGAAAAATGTAAATTTTTAACTTTCCTTTTGATTTTAATATATGTTAACTGCCCCGTCTCCTAACTTTGCATCTACTTCAATCTTGTAAAAGGATTTTTTGTTTCTCAGTCAATTTAGAGATTTTTACATGGCTATAATGTGTCTATATAATTTCGTTACTCCAGTATCCCTTAGACTGCTTAGTAAATTTGTACATAAAAAGTTCCGGTAAGCATAATATAGTATATTTATCATTCGTTAATCGATCCAGGAGTAATCATTTAGTACTTTTTTGCTTTTGATTATTTGAATGTTTTTTTACACTTTATAATTATAACAGATTTATTCAATATTTCTGAAAGTTAAGAATAAATGTTAAAAAAAGGTATAAATTCTCAATCAGTAAAGGAAACTGTAAATTTTTTATCTTTATTTTCTTATTATTATGATGTAAAAATTGCTCCAAATGATTACTCTCGTATTAAAATCGATTTTAAACCGTGCTCAGTAAGTTTATAGATAAATAGTGCCTGAATAAATATAGTGTAATTGTGAGTGTAGTACAGTGTATTTAATGAAAATGTTATCAAATATATCGTGACAAAACGTCTTATATGATAGTCTAATTCAATTTTGTATATAATTTTTAATTAAATTTATATCAAGACACAGGTAGTGTCTAGACGCTAAGAGCACGAGCAGCGACATTACAGCACAAGACCGGCCGTATTACTTTACGAGAGCCGGCGAGTTGCGGAAATCTCAACTAAATCAATCAAATTTTCCATCGATAGCTTGCACTCCGATTGTATAATAAAAGTGCTTTTTTTGTACGTGTCCTACGAGCGAAGATATTGCAATGCAAAGTCCGGATTTGAAACTTTTTTTATATCAAGATATCTCGTCGTCGTTGTCATTATCGTTGATCCCAAAATTGTACTGTTATAATTTTTGGCGCAAGAAATGCTAGATGTAAGGTTGCAGTTTCTAGCACAAGAAGTGCTAAGCATGATATTTTTTATGGACTTTCTCACCCGAAATTTTTTTTTAGTCTTTAAACAAACATCGATTAAGTAAAATTAATTCAAATGTATTACAACAAGAGATAGAAAACGCGAAATTAGAAATATCCCTGGCGAAAACTTATCTTATATATTGTTAGTATAATTTTCCAAAAAAGTTAAGAAATTTTTCAAAATTTATCACATTTTTTCCCGAATATATATATGAAATAAAAGTACTTAACATTTCTCAGTACGATTACATATGAAATTGTATACTGTATGTATGTACATACATATACCAGGATTGCAACAGATCTGGCAAACCGGGAAAAGTCAGGAGAAATAATTGTTATAATTTTTTTAATATTACATCTGACATTTATAGTCAAATACGTTCAAAACTCGCGCATTTTAAACGATTTTTAATGAAATAAAATTTTTAATGAATTAAAATTTATATCAAGGTTGTCACAGAAAATTAAAAAATTCCCCGACTTTTCCAGATTTTCCAGATGAAAATGGAAAATTTTCCGTGACTAATATAAAATATGTAAATTTTAACATTTAGACTCAAGGATTGTAGGAAGGCTATATTATTAAAAATGCAAAAAAAGCTTAGTAGTATAGTAAAATTTTGAGTGCAAATTCAAGCCAACAAAAAATAAATTAGTTTTGAAAAAAAGAATGCAGTTATGACGAAAAGAGGATCAAATAAAAATACTGAAAATATATATTTGAATTATTTTGTTAAAATTATTTAAAGTGTGCAAGTTTTGAACTATAAACGTCAGATATAATATTTAAAAAATTATAACAATTATTTGGAATAGGAGTAGTTTAAGGAAATTGTGAGCAAATTTCGAAATTCCAGACTTTTTTACATTTTCCCCTGATTTTTCCCGGTTTTCCATAACCAATTTCAATTTCCTTGACTTCCCGGTTTTTCAGGTCTGTGGTAATCCTGTTATATATTTTTTGTTCAGTATTTTTATTTGATAGCCTTTTTTTCATTATAATTTCATTCTTTTTCCAATACTAATTTATTTTTTATTGGCTTGAATTTGCACCCAAAATTTTATTATGCTGCTAAGCTTCTTTTGCGTTGTTTTTAATAATATAAACTAGCTTTCCTACAATCCTTTATTCTAAATGTTAATACATATTCTATATTAGTCATGGAAAATTTTCCATTTTTATCTAGAAAATCTGGAAAAGTCAAGGAATTTTTTAATTTCTTGTAACCCTGTATACATTCTTATATCTACTGTTCATATTTATCATTTACTACGTTTACACGGCACGTTTTACGCCGAAGTTATAACATCCATGTGATGAAACTGACCAATCACAGTCATTCCATTCTTCAGAGGAACAGCTATGATTGGCCAGTTTCATAACTTCGGCATAAAGCGTGCCGTATAAATGTAGCAATTGATGGTCTTTTTATTCCATAATGTTGTCAATAAGATTTCCATATCAGACTGCAGTTATAGGTCAAAGAACAGATTATTTCTTTGTATGTAATCGTAAATAACTGCAACAAAGAAGAGAAATAGATTTCAAAATGAATATATTGACTAAAGTTCGCATAATTTCTAGTAAAGGTATTCACTATTACAGTAGAAAAGTTGGTATAATCGGAGTACCTTTTGATAAAGGCCAGGTAAATATGAAATAGCCAGACAGCAAACAATTTTAGTTTCGATATCCAATAGTGCATATGTTTTAAATAAAGGATTAGTATAAGTAATAAACAAGAGCATTAAATGTTATAAAAATAGTAAATTTTACAGAAAAAAGAAGGAGTAGCTCGTGGACCCGAGACAATCAGAGCAGCAAATCTGGTAGACAAATTGAAAATATTAGGTAAATTTATGCAATAATATATACATCTTTTGTATAAATGTAAGTATACATAATTTGTAAATTAACATAATTTATGTTTATTTCACAAAAAAAGATTTGGATGTGCGAGATTATGGTGACGTGTGCTATAATATAAGTAATATGAATGATGTACAAAATATGTCACATTTGGGCCACGTGGCTAGTTGTATGAGTAACTTATCTAAACAAATTCGACAAGTGTTACGCGAAGGTAGGCAAGCATTAACAATCGGTGGTGATCACAGCTTGAGCATTGGTACAATTGATGGACATGTCAAGGTACAAAAGAGAAATATTTTTATAGAAAAATCAATAATTTTCATTAAATTCAAATATTATATTTTTTTCATAGGAAAAACAAGATGTGGCAGTAATATGGGTAGATGCTCATGCAGATTTAAATACTAACAAAACCAGTGAAAGTGGTAATGTGCATGGAATGCCCGTAGCATTATTGACTTCGGAACTAGCTGATTATTGGCCGTATTTACCAGGCATGGACTGGCAAATGCCAATGTAAGAATGTAAAGATATTCAGAACATGAGCTGCTATTTTTTAAACTATATCAAATAAATTAAAATTATTATATTAAAACAAATATAAACAATAAATTTAATCAATATATCTCTTTTTTTTAGATTATCTATCAGAAATGTAGCTTATATTGGTTTGAGATCTATAGATCGTTATGAAAGATTAATAATTGAAAAATTTGGTATTACTGCTTTTGGAATGGAAGACATAGAACGTTATGGTTCGATTATAAAATAATTGTACATTGATTATTACATAAAATATTAAATACATTTAATGTTTTTAGGTATTCACGATGTGATACATATGGCACTTAATAAAATAGATTCTCATAACTCAAGATCTTTACATGTCAGCTTTGATATAGATGCACTAGATCCGCTCGAAGCACCTAGTACTGGAGTACCAGGTTTGTAGTGTATGTATTATATCAGTGTACATAAATAGTATTATAAATCTATATTTGCATATAGTACGTGGAGGACTGTCTCTTAGAGAAGCAATTCATCTTATGGAAGAAATATCTAGAACACATAGATTGAATGCTATCGATTTAGTAGAAGTTAATCCACAAATTGGTAATAAACAAGATGTAAAAATGACTGTACAAGCAGCCATACACATTATCCAAGCAGCTTTGGGCTACTCAAGACGCGGTTTGAAAGTACCTGACGGTGTTACCGATATGCCTTTACAAACTTTCCATTGATTTCTATTTTATATGAATTATTAAAATATTAAAATTGTAATATTTTAATTATCTCTGGGTTATTTTCAATTTTATTATTTGTCCTTACAATATTACCTAACTTTTTATATAGTATTTAATTAAATCTCTAAAAATATCAAATCTATTTTTCTCTCGATACAAGTTTGTTATAATTTCAACTTATTTCGCATTGTCTTATTACGAACGTTTTTCCAGGTATATTATCAAATATAATTTCAATTTTAGATGCTTCAAGTTTGTTTTCAAGTTTACGATTCCATGTTACTTCATAATATAACTTTCCTTTAGTATTGGTACCTGTAAGTGGAACTTTAAACCATTTGTAATTTTGTGTAATTTTTGTATCTTCATGTTCAAGTATTCGATGTCCATCACCGTAAGTGATGCGGCCCAACGATATAGGTTCTCCAAGGTATGGTACAGCTTTCTTATGTGCACGTAGGGTATTCATGACATCTTTATAAGTCTCACTGTTTTTAATATTGTATTGTATGCGATAATAGAGAATATAACCTGTACTTGCTGTTATAAATCCTCCCAAACTTGCTATTTTCATGAGCTTTTGATTCGATACCATCCTGGAACAAAGTAACACTTGTGATATAAAAAATATATTCCTTTATATATCCTTTACAAACAATTTAATTTGTTTTATAGATAACATAACCATTAACTTACATTGGGTCTGTTTTTTATTGCACTGTGTGTACCAGTTCAGAAAGTGCAGCAATAAAAAACAGACCTATCGAAACCAGTAATGCTGGATTCACACTGAACGCAGCAAGCGTCAAGCAGTGGAGCAGGAACCTACCAGCGAAGCGATATTTTTTACGCCACTGTAAATATCGTCACGCTGGTTGGTTGCTACTCCGCTGCTTGACACTTGCTGTATCCAGTGTGAATCCAGCATAAGCCCGGATCCTCATACGGACAACAGCGCTTTGACACCGAACGCTGATTGGTGAAAAACGGGTGGTGGGAGTAAATTTTACCCGCACAACCGGTTTTTCACCAATCAGTGCTCTGTGTCAAAGCGGTGTCTGTATGAGGATCCAGCCTAAGTCATAGGGTGCTTTCCATTTGATGACACAAGGCGAGACAAGTGTCGTTCTATCTTTGTCACTCTCTGAATGTAGGTGGCACCCAGTTGGACACGGCTCAATTGGACACAAGCCACTCACAGCGATTGAGACTACAAAACTCCTAGGCACCTGGTCGCTGTGATTGGTGGTGTCCAATCGAGCCGTGGTCAATTGGGATCACCCTCAGAATCGACCCCCAGGGGTGCGTTCCATAACGCAACTTTGGTAACTGAAATCTGTAGTTAACGTAACGTAAACTATAGCTTTTTAGTAACCAAAGTTACGTTTTAGAACGCACCCCAGCTCGTGAAAATTTACCCTAAGGCCTATTCTTTTCTGCTATACTTTTGCACCAGTTTATCTTTCTTGTTCTTCTTCTTCATTCTTCCTGAAGAAAAGAGGAAGAAAGATGAACTGATGCAAAAGTTCAGCTAAAAAGAACAGATCTATTAATTCCGCCATGAACTATAGAAACAGTTTCTGAATTGGTCGAGGAGATGGAAGAATCTCTTTCTCGAAAGTCTCGAATAGAAATCTCGAAACTCGAAACGCTATTACCAAATTCAGCCTTCGTTTGCATATTAATCATATTATTTATTAAACATAAACTATTGGTGTTTTGTTGTTATTCGCAATATTTTTTTGCCTTGAATGGCGTGTATAACCTCGCACTCAAAGACAACGCAAATGCGATGACCAATGTTTTTGGGTGCGTGAAGGGGCATGTGTGTATATATACGCACGCACACACACACATACACACACCACCATAGTCCATACTGCACGCGTGCGCGCGCGCATACATATCATACCCAAGCCGATTTTCTGATTTCTAACCTTTTCCTCGTTTATGTTATCGGACCATTCTTATCTTTTACTTGATGAATACGATTGAAAAATTAATCACAAATAAATTATTAGATTAATTATTGCATTTTATAATAAAAATTTTGTAAGCAATAGTATGTAATGTTCTCTTTGCGTGTGAATCTACAGAATAACAATGGATAATATTGGAATGCTAATTGGATATTTTATTTCAGATATTTATTACATGTGTTTATGCATAAACAATAATATTTAAATCTTTAAATTTATATATGAAACACTTGTTTTATTCATGTGCATTCATCACGTACACGTAATCATATTTTTTATTTAGTTTAAATTATGACAATTTATTTTGTAGGTATTAACTATAAAAACAGTAATAATGGATACTCTATTTACTCCAAATGTTCCCGATGAAGCAGAAGATATACCACCAACGGATGAGCCAGTTTGGATCCTTGGCAGGAAGTATAATGCTATAAAAGGTCTAATAAATAATCAGAATATGAATATTTTTGATGAAATAGGTTGTAAGATTTTAAATTTTAGAGCTCGATGCAATACGCAGGGATATACGATCCAAACTATGGTTTACTTATCGCAAAGGGTTTGTTCCCATTGGAGGCTGCAATTCTACATTTACGTCTGATAAAGGTTGGGGTTGTATGTTGAGATGTGGACAAATGGTTCTGGCCCAAGCCTTAATTACATTACATTTAGGTAATCACTCACATGCATGCAATATTTTAATTATATAGATAATAAATTTAACATTGTATAATCAAATTTCTTTTCTTCCTTTGTCATTGTCAAAACAAGTTCAACAACTTGTTGTAAGACCATCAAAGATTGTTTTGTGGGGACATTTAAGAAAAAACCATTACCTTTGTAATTCTCAAAATTACTTCTAATGATTTCAAAAAAATTTTATTATTTTCATTATTTATTTTTACATATATAAATAACTTCCCGGTTGTGTGTATCCTATTAAATATAAGAAACTACATGTATAATTACAGAAATGATTAAATGATTATATAGCATTTTACTTATGACACAGGTAAAGATTGGCAATGGATGCCAGAAACAAAGAATAACACATATCTAAAAATTTTAAGGCGCTTTGAGGATAAAAGGGCTGCTGCTTTCTCTATCCATCAAATCGCATTGATGGGTGCATCTGAAGGAAAGGAAGTTGGACAATGGTTTGGTCCTAATACTATTGCACAAGTATTAAAGTATGTATTATTGCAGGAATTTTAAAATTAAATAAAATTTTATTTTTTTAAGCATTTATACCGGGTGTAACAAAGCGACCATATCAAGCTAATTTCTTGAAAAATATGCATTTTCTTGAGAAATGTTTCAGATAAAAGTTTTTCCTTCAAGGGAAACTATATGGTATCATTGGTTAGACCTTAGATGGCGTTGTCAAGATCAAGGCAAGGTCACATTGAATTTTTTAGATAGAACCCCTATTTTTCATTACCTATCTTGTAGCTTATATGGAGGATAGAGACCAGAAGATCGAACAAGGCTTAGAAAAGTGTCATCAAAATCAAGTTCCTGAATTAGTATTAGTGGTGCGGTAGGCGGCGTTCGAATCACAAAACTCTCATATACGCTTATGCACACAATCGAACACACATAACCTAAAAATAGAGACGTTATTCTTTGATATCATGCTCTAACAATAACAGGAAGATGTAAATTGTTATTAAAACTGCATGAAGAATAGAGTATTTATAGTGTTTCGAAAAGCTCTCGAAGTAAGCTACAAGAATATGTAATGAAAAATGAGGGGTTCTGTTTAAAAAATTTAATGTGACCTTGTCTTGACCTTGTCTTGACACCACCTAAGGTTTAATCAATAATACCATATTATGTCCCCCTTGGTCGAAAAATTTTTGTCTGAAACATTTTTCAAGAAAATGTATATTTTTCAAGAAATTATCTTGGTACCGTTGCTCTGTTACACCTAGTATATTTAAAATATAATTTTAAATATTTTTAATATCACAAAAATTTATATTTGATTAAAAATATTATGAGAGAAGTATATTTTATATAGTTCAATGATTTGTTTTAATAAATCAAAGTTTTCAATATTTTTCTTTTTTTTTAGAAAATTAATTGTATATGATGAATGGAGCTCTCTCACTATACATGTTGCATTAGATAATACATTAATAGTTAATGATATTTGTAAGTATGTATTAGTTGTATTAACATTATTTTATATTTAAAGAATAAGTAACATTAAGTTACAATTGCATATATTTAAACAAGAAATATGCCTCTAATCTTTATTAAAAATCAAGCGTATTAAGCCCATTCTACATAAGACGCAGAACACGGGTTGCAGGTTGCAAAACTAGAAACTAGCCTAACGTATTTTATTTTAATTATGATTGTAGGACGCAGAACGCAGGACGCAGAAAGTTGAATGAACTTTAACTTTTGCGTCCTGTGTCTTGCATTCTACGTATTGCGGTCTGCGACCTATTACAATCTGAAATGCTTGCGACCTGTGACCTGCGTTCTGCGTCTTATGTAGAATGGGCTTTAAATATATCAATGCATTACTTAATACGTATATTAGTTTTATCGTATATATTTTCTTAAAGTTCTTTGCAATATTACAAATAGATAAAAAATAAAATGAAACTAATCATAAAACTTTATTTGCTATTGTTACGTAGAGAGAATTAAATACGTTATAATTGAACTGTTATTATATATTTTATATTATAATTTTAATGGTTATACAGTGAGACAATGTAGAGTAGAAGGTGGTGTAACAGCAGAAGCAGATGGAGAAATTCCCCTAAGGGCACCTAGCCAATGGAAACCTTTGTTATTATTAATCCCGCTGCGCCTTGGACTTAGCGAAATTAATCCTGTATACATTAATGGACTTAAGGTAAGAATTTTTGCATGCATAAAATATTAAATTTAAATGCTAATATATCAACGATACAGATAGTTGTAAAAAAACCATGTTACTATGTGTACTCTAATTCCAAGATATGTGTGTATGTATACAGAGTATTCAGCGTAACAGTC